TCTGGACAATTGCTCACTAAACTTATTTAAATTATATTCGTTTTTTCTCGAACAGTCATGGTTTCATTTTTCTTATTTACTGTCTGATTATTTTCAAAGCAAATACAAAAATTGGAAGATGATCCGAAATATCAGGAAACAACAAGCCACTTTTCATACTGCTATGCAATTGATTGGCAAATATATTATCAATTAGTGTAGCCGAGTGAGAAGTTATTCTTGAGGCACGAAGTATCAAAGGAAAGATTGTGTTAGAGTACATTTGCTCCAAGAACTCGTCGGTCAGCGAGTGTTGCTGGAAGCTTAATAAGTTTAAATTAAAATTTCCCATTATATAACAAGTCTTATTTTCCTTTGTAATTTTACTAAGCAATTCATTATAACTAGTCAAAAAACTGGCAACATCTTGGTTAGGAGGTCTTTAAATTAACCCTACAATAATATTCTTACCGATAAAATTATTTATTTCAATGAATAAAGACTCCGCTATTTCTTCATTTTCCGGCAAAACACAAATCACCACGGATTCTTGAATCATAATTTTCGGGTAAATACAAACCAACACCCACGCCAACTCTATTTAATCGATGTTTATGAAAAAAACTAAAACCATTTATATCCACTACACTAGAAATACATGCATGCAACAACCCCTCGCCTATATTTTGCAAACATTGTTTCAACATGAAGTATTCGTAATTACGCCAACACTGAACGCAGGCTCGCGTTGCCACGTCACGTTAGTCATGGCAACACGAAATTGTTTTTCAATTTTCTGTACAAACCGGGGAAAAATAGATGAAATTTGAATACTTTTAAATACAGAACTATCCATTTCTAAAATATATAAAGTAGGTATAATATTTTGGTTTTTATGGGCTTTATTTTAATGTAAAATTTAAAACGAAACTCTACGTAAAACGTTTTTAAATGTGAATTGAAATTAACTGCTTCTTGCCGATATTTATAAACTTCTCAACTCGAGCTTCAACTTATTACTCGCACTTTGAAATGAAACAAACTTAATTCGTACAGGACGCTAATGAAAATAATTTGCTTTCCTAAGCTTTTTATCATGAACTTCTACAAAAGTTAATTTAACTAAGAAACTTTCGCAAGCAAATATGCATAGGAAAGACTTTGACTTAAACATCAAGAACAAAGTATATATTATTAAATACAAAGTCATACATAAACAATTGAAACAAACTTGCCCTATACTATAGGATTTATCATACAGTTTACAAATTGCAAAAAAGTTGTACAATTTGTTATGTGAAGCGATTTTCCAAGCTTTCTTACATGTATTTTTTTATATTTTTTGCCTTCTCCACTGCTGGCAAACAGCCATATTTTGAGATCAGTGATGACCGCCCACTCAACACCGTTGGTGCATGAGCGCCCGCGATAATTGATGAACTTTAGACTTCGCTAATGCTTTCGTTTCCCCGGGTATAAATAGCCGGGGGGAATTAGTACCCTCTCACGGCGCTTGGCGCCGTCGGCTCAGGGATGACACGCATTTTGTAACCATGTTTCAGTAATACCAATAACAGAAAATTGTATATTTAAATTATGCAATAAATTTGTTAATTTATTTAAATTTCGATCCAAACTACGAATATTCAAATGAAAAATAGAAAATTGACTGGAACAATGAATTTCGTTTGATTAGCTTGTTGAATTGATCCTCTATTAAATAATCACAAAAATAGTTTAAATCACAATAGAAATACGAATCAGGACCCGCATCATTGGCGAGGGTAAGGTGTTGATTTGCACTTGCAAACAAGGATTATATAACTCAAACCACAGTTAATGGAATACATGGTTTGGAGACTCGATGAAAGTACAATATAACTCATTAACTAATGTTGGTTTCGGTTTATGCAAGAATTTGGGCCTATCTCGTCACGTGTGTATTGTATTTTTTCCCGCACAACCAATAGCAATGTTTAAATTGAGCATTACGGATGGATAACTCAACCACAAACATGTTATTGGTTATTTGAGCGAAAATACAATACACACTTGCCAAGATAGGACCAAATTCTTGCATAAACCTGGACAATAACATGGTTAATGAGTTATATTGTACTTTCATCGAGTCTCCAAACCATCTGTTAAAATAACTGTGCTCAAACTTGCAAAACAATCTGTATTAAAATTAACTGGCCCAGTATTTAGCTCAAATATTTCTAAGTTAAAGCTGTCATCATCTAGCCGTGAAAAGGGAGGACTTCGCTGTGTGATAGAGTCATTGTATTGAATAAAATAGTAATATGAGAAATAAATATGTACCTAGCTCATAGATAGTTCGAATTAAATCGATCAAATTCTTTAATTGAGCTGAATGAGGTTGATCTATCTTCACCATCTTCTTTAAAAAAAGATTTATCATTCATAGTCCAGGCATATTTGAAATGATTTGCTCTTCTAAATTCTCTTACATCAAGCACGAGGAGTCAAACTTTCATTGATAAGTATATAGCTTGTTTTCTGTATTGACACAACCGATGTCAGACGAGTTTCTAGATTTCTTTCAATTTTGCTTTGATAAACAATTTCTCTAGTACGTCGCTTGGTAAATTTTGCAATAATGAGTGGTGTTGATCCTCTTCTAGATGGCAGACGATGGGAGATAGACATGTCGTACGGATTAATTTCGACTCCGACTAAGATGGCGACACGCTTGACTAATTCATCCGTGTTTTCCGATGAATTCTGTGGTATCCCGTGAAATTCAAGGCAGTCCCTTCGACTGTATGAGTAGATGCTTTCTTGCTCTTCTTCAAGCTTAGACACTTTCCCATTAAGCTCGTTGACTTCTTGTTTTAATTGAACATTTTCCGCTTTAAGCTGTGTCATTTCTGCTAGATTTGATCGAATTTGTCGCTCACTAAGCCCGCCGCACACGAGAGCTATCTGCTGAGCAAACCGCCTCGCGAGGCGATTAGCTCAGCTATGTATTTTCACCGCACACGTTGGGAAAACTACTCAACAACAACACAATTGACAAAATCATTTGCATTTTCCTCCATTTTGTTCCAAGTCACATGAAGAAACCATGGTTTGTCATTGGCTAATTGATTCAAACTGCTCAGCACTTAGCTCACAACATCCGCAGACGCTGAGATTTTCTCCTCGCGAGGCGAAAAATATCAAACACGATAGATATTTTCCTCAAGGCCTCGAGAGGTCAAATCCTCACGAAAACTATCCGCACACGAGAGCTACTTGCTGAGCTAACCGCCTCGCGGTTAGCTCAGCAAGTAGCTCTCGTGTGCGGCGGGCTTAAGCTGTTGACTAGCTTGAATAGCCTTTATGTCATTATGTAAAGGGTGTCTAAAAAAAAAACGCTACGGAAATTAAACAGGCTGTCGTGCATCATAAACGTGGCTAAACAATTCAATTTTTACATAGGACGAAAGAACAGTTATTTAGTTTTTCAATGATACTATTTTTAAGTCGTAACGATGAGAAATGGCCACATACTCGTCAAATAAAAATTGCTGGTCGAAATCACATTCTTCCACCGTTGGGAATTGCATCGAAAACGAAACATAAACAATTCCCAAGATGGAATTAAAATTGAATGTTAAATTATCTAAAATAAGCTCAACTCGTCAACTTCGTCTTAAGCCTAGTTTCCATTTGGTCGTTAGTTGTCGCTGACACGACAAGCGGTAGATGTGAAAAAGTCTAACATAATAATAGTCATTTGTGTGTTATATGCAAATCAGTCTTAATGATTGCAGAGTTTTATAAAGTTTTGTTGACACTCTATTACATCAGCCACTTGTCGTGCCAGCGACAACTAACGACCAAATGGCAAATGAAACTAGGTTTTAGTGAGACAATAACACAATACGAATTTGGTACGAAACATGGTTCAATTACCCCTGAACAGAGAACATTCGTTATCAAAACGTTTTATGAAACAAATAGCTTGCAGCAGGCTCGCGTTGCTTTTGGATTGACTAACTTTGCATAATGAATTATTTTCAATTCCCAACGGTGGAAGAATGTGATTTCGACCAACAATTTTTATTTGACGAGTGTGTAGCCATTTCTCATCGTTACGATTTCAAAAAGGTGTCATAGAAAAGCTAAATAACAGCTCTTTCTTCCTATGTAAAAATCGAACAGTTTAGCTACGTTTATGATGCACAACAGCATGTTGAATTTCCGTAGCGTTTTTTTGAGACACCCTGTAGTACTTCTTTTGCTTTCACTACAATTGCATTTAATCCAAAAACCATGACCAGCCGACAATTTAAAAAAATAAAGTAAAAAACAAATTCCGAAAATGCAGGACATCTTGAGAATTCAATATATAATTCAAAACAAGACGCAGTTTGAGACTGTAAATTTTCGACTTTATTTCAAAGTCATCTTCAGACAGAATGAAATACAATACTTTACAACACACACATATATATATATATATATATATATATATATATATATATATATATATATATATATATATATATATATATATATATATATATATATATATATATATATATATATATATATGCAACAAGTGTACACCCTCTGCTCGGCAGACAAATCATAGATAATATACAAACAGGTTATAACACTGCCACGACTCCAAGTGAAATTATTTAATAAAAAAATATATATATAGCTTTAAATTTTCGGCAGCATGCCACCGCCTTCGTCAAAAAGTAAATGAATATAGTAAATTACCCTCCTTATATACAACAATATAAGTGATTAAACTAATTAAAGCAATATAAACAAAGAAACCTATTGTTGGGAATAATCATGGCTGGTATTCAAACCCCCCAAATTAGTGAGCAAAGTACCTATCCAAAAGTTTTCACACTTTCTTAAGTCCTCGTTGTTATTATCAATTAACATAAATAAATATATATATATATATATATATATATATATATATATATATATATATATATATATATATATATATATATATATATATATATATATATAGAATTTCGCTTACCTCAAAATTCCGCAACAGTCTGTTTCATCAGTGATTCTTTACAGTCTGTTTCATCATGATTCTTTACTGATGAAACAGACTGTTGCGGAATTTTGAGGTAAGCGAAATTCTACATTTGCTCTATCTTTATGATATTGAGCACTCTTTGCGTTTCGTATACACAAACCTATTCGTTCGTATATATATATATATATATATATATATATATATATATATATATATATATATATATATATATATATATATATATATATATATATATATATATATACAACGCAGAGAGAGAGCATCTGTCATGTGGGCGGAAAGAAGGATTATCCAAGCGAAGCGAAACATGATAAAGAAAATGGTAATAACTGAAAATTGAATATTTAGCTTATTTACAACAATTATCATTTATAGACCTGGAGCGAGGGGGATTCGGCAAAATATTACCCTCAGTGATGATATTTCCCGAGGGGCTTTGCCCCGAGGGAAATATCATCACTGAGGGTAATATTTCGCCGAATCCCCCGAGCGGAGGGTCTATAAATGATATATTATACCGAAAATTAAAAGCCTCCAAGTTGAGACATAAACTTGACACATACCTTCGTGAATACGATGTTTTATTTTCGGATTAACGCAAGTATTCGTCGATTTTCTTTCGAATCACATATCGTATGGAATATTAATGACAACATTTTTCAAAATTTGCTTCAAAATTTTGAAAACGCCCCAGGTTTTACGTTTAAAATTTGATTATTCATCGCTCATCAATACTATTTATATTTTGTCGGCCATGTTTTTTTGTCATGCGTGTTGTCTCGCGCGGTCTACGCGAATAATGTTCCACCCCATGTTCCCCGGGGAACATGGGGTGGAACATTGTCAAAAGGAACGCAGGCTCGCTAATTGATGACGTAAGGCGTGATATCGCGATTAATTTCATGCGAGGTAGAAAGGGAAAGACCCGACATGTAGAAGAAGATTAAGTTAAAGTGTTATGTGAACAGTTGTAGTTCTTTACTAGCTTTAAGTCCAGTGTTAAGAAAAGGTTTGTTGTGTTTGATAAGCAGAGCTTCAAGAAAAGCAAGAATGTTGTAGTTGTTAGATTTTGTAATGTGACGTATTCTGTAGCTGTTGAAAACAAGGTTTTCAATAGGAGAAGAGTTGTCAGAAGACGAAGGAAGATCGTTGAGTAATGTGAACTGGTCTTGTGAAGTAGCTAAGAATTGAGCATGTTCACACTCAGAAAAATGTTGGCCCACTGCACTAGAAGAGAGCCTAGTTGCATGCTCTTTCAAACGTACAGAAAGGCATCTTTGTGTCATGCCAATATAGGTCTCGTATACAAGATTACTACGAGATAAAGGAGGAAGTTTATCTTTGTTGGAAACAAAATAAGAAAGCTTTTTAGTGTCATAAATAGTGATAAACTTAACCGGTTTAGAAAGAAATCTTTGTATTTTATTAAGACATGATTTTAAAAGAAAATCGCCACGGTTTCCGAGATAAGGAATACGAATCCAAATTTTAGGCAACATATCATCGGTGTCATGATTAACGGCATTGGAAGTAGAACTATCAATAAATTTGGTTTTAAGCTTTTTAATCAAAAAGTTTCTAACGCCAATAGGATAACCATTCCAAGACATAAAAGATTTGATAGTCTCAATTTGATTGTTGAAAAGTATTTTCGAACTGCAAATTTTAAAAGCCCGGTAGAACAGAGATTTTACCCATGCAGTTTTGCGATGAAAAGGCTCGAAACTTGAAAAATGTAAATACTGACCGGTGTGGGTGTCCTTACGATAAATGTCAGTACCTTCAACCGAGACTTTTATGTCTAAAAAATGAACTACGCCATCGGGAAATGTATCAACTGTGAAATTTAAGTTCGGATCGAAACTATTGAACTTAGCTAAAACGGCGGAAATATTGGAAGGTTTTATCAAAACAAGAGTGTCATCAACGTAACGTTTGTAGAATTTTATAGTACCATCGGCAATCAACTCGGAAACTGTTAATCTTTCAAATTCAGTTAAAATTATATTAGCTAAGACAGGTCCTAATGATGAACCCATAGAAACGCCGTCTTTTTGGACATAAATTTGCTCGTCAAAAGAAAAGGCAGTTTTGTTGCAACAATCCAAAATGAGTTTCTTCAAAGTGCGCTTTTTCAAAGTGGTTGCAATTAATTCGTCTTTATAAATACGATCTAGAATAATTTTGACTGTCCGGGAAAGTGGAACGTTGGTAAAAAGGGATTCAACATCGAAAGAAACGAACTGGTAGCCTTCTTGAAACAAATGTTTGGGAATGTTGTTAATATTGGTCACCGCATCAAAAGAATCAGAAAGAGAATGATCATTTAAAGTAAGAGGATTTAGTAAAGAAGATAAAAATTTTCCAACGTTGTAGTGTGGAGTGTTAGTAGTGTCAACTATTGGTCGGAATTTAGGTAAAGTGTCAAATTTCTTGTGAGTCTTTGGCAAACCGTGTGCTCTGCTAAAATGTGCTGTCATAGGTCTTAAAGCGTCAAGCTGTTCGTCAGTAATTTCATTACGTTTGTGAAGTTTAAGTAGGTAGTTCTGTAAAGAATGACGTCTAGTTAATGTCGGGTCATAATCCAATTTCTTAAACTTAGAGGAATCAGAAAAAAGAGATTTGATAGAAATTACATAATCAGAGCGATTAATGAGCACAATGCCATTTCCTTTATCAGGCTTAAGGATGGCAAAAGTTTCTGTTAGTTTGTTTAGAATGTTTATCTTCTTGCGCCCTAGCTTAAACTCCTTCAAGTCAAGATCAATATAATTATAAGTGAAGGAGC